GGAGCGCCGCCACGCTCCCAAGCGGCGCACTTTCCAGTGCGCCACTGGGCCGGCCCAAAAAATTTCCATTTTAATACAAGGCAACTAAAACTTGGAGAGGTTAAATGACTTGCCCCAGGTCACATAGCATGTTTGTAATATAGTTGGGATTTAAACTAAATTATATTTGAGTATGAAATATGTATATATTTTTAAAATATGCTATTAATAACACTTTGTAGAAAAATGAAAAACATAAAAAAGCAAAAAGAAAAAAAATTTTAAAAGCACACTTAACCTGTAACATCACTGATTGGGCTGGAAACCTAATGTTAAGAAACCTATGTTTGGGACCTATGTTTGGTAGCTCCACGTATCATTTTGGATAAATTGCTTTCCCATTCTGGATCTCAGTTTCTCTTCTTTAATTGAGTGGTCCTTTCCAGCCTTAAAATTCAGAGTCTCCATGAAGCCAGAGACGGAAGCCCTGCCCATCCCTGCTGGGGTGTGCCTGCTTCCCTAGACTCACCACAGAGGGGCAGTGTGGGTCAGGGGCTGGAGTGCCAGGCAGCCACGGATGCCACAAGCATTTCAGCCCCTCGCTCCTCCCTGCTCCCTTCATGCTGTCCCCCCAGCAAAACACTGGCTGCTAGGATAAGAGGCCCTGTTTGCTGTGGGCCTGCCCTGGTGGTGGCCAAGAAGCCATAGTCAATTAGGTGAGGTGCTGAGCCTCTTGGCCATGTAAAAGGATGGATGACAGTGATCTTTTTCCCTGGACACCCAAACAGACCTTTCACTTGGGGGGAGAGGGGAGCAAACACAAACAGGAAACGTGGGCTCCTGGAAGACCCATGCTCTGTGCTGGAAGTCAGATCTGTGTGGACTTCTTTGACAGAACCACTAACTCGCTGTGCATGTCCCGGAGCCTGGTTCCACTTCTCTTGCTCTTGAAATGATCCTGATGTTCCTTGCCCTGTGTCTTAGGATCAGGGCTTATCAGGATTGAGAAGCCTCTTTCCTTATTGGAGGCTGAGTGAGGGTGAGTGACTTGCTCAAGGTCACTCAGCTGGTGAGTGGCAGGGAAGCCACGAGGACTTGTTCAAGTTACCATTCATCTGATTTAATAAACATTTATTGAAGCAGTGGAGTTTAGTGGTTGGGGGCCTGTTCAAACATCAAGGGTAGTTAGATGTGGGTTCAAATCCTAGCCCTGGCATTCTCAGCTGTTTGATCTTGGAGAAGCTCCTTGAGCTTGGTGATGCTCAGTTTCCTGGAAAACGGGCATGGTGATAGCTCTTTCCTGCGTGGGTGTCGTGAACTTAGGCTTGGTAAGTGCCTGGCACGTTGCAAGCACTGAATAAGTGCAGCTATTACTATTGCTTTGAACACGGCTGCTATTACCACTGCCAACGCTGCTGTGATTGCCAGTGCTACAATGATGGTGAAGAGAAGGAGGTCTGCTGTGCTGACCAGGCATCGGGACATCCTGGTGCTCTTTCCAAGGATGGGCTCCACATGGTTCCTGAACCCACTGGAATTGTATGCAACATTTATGCATTTTTCTGGGGGGGATGGTTCATAGCAGTCATTAGGGTCTTAAAGAAGTCAGTAACCCTCAAAGGGCTAAAACTCATCCATTAAAGTCTAAGGCTTGCTAAGTACCAGTCACTTTACCACATGGGCCACTGTTTACTTAACACTTTTCTTTAAATCAACTCATTTTTGGAGGAAGCTTTCTATTACTATTTTAAAACCTGAATCATTTTCTATAAATAAAAGGTCATAGTAAAGAAAAAGAAGATGAAAACAAAACAATATTAGTGCCTCTGGATCGCTCCGGACTGTGGCAGGCCTGAGGCCTGCTCTCTCTTTCTCAAGGGGAGATTAGCAGGGTTTGAAAGATGTTATAGATATTTTGGCCCTAAACTGAGAGGCATTCCTCTTTGAGGAACTTAAAGAATTGAGAGAGATGTGAAAAGGGAATCACTTTCTCACTGGAGAGCCCAGCCCCTGGCACATAGTAGGTGCTAAATAAGTATTTGCTCAATGACTTCTATGTAACTCAGAGTCTCTTGTGCCACCTCCAGCTGTCATTTCAAACTATCTTGCACAACACCCATATCCATAGCAAATTTGACCTGCAGTATAGAAGCAACCCTGAGAAACCACATGCTGGCTCCACTCTGATACCTCCTGGAAGCCTCTTGCTTAGACTCGTTAAATAGATCAAATGAGACAACATTTCTGAAAAGGCTGAAAGGGGTCGAAAGCTCACTACCTGGGTGAGGCAATTCTATTATTTTACTCTTTATGCAAGGGGTTGGGGAGAGTAGGAGGTGGAGCTTGGGGAGGAGGAATAAAATGAGGAACAGATGTCACTGTGGGTCACTTGGGCTTTAGTGCCCAAGGTGATTTAGAGAGATTGTGAAGTGCAAGAATCAAAGGCTAATGCGGAGTAGGATCTGCACAGGGAGAAGCATTTCTTGGCGGGACATGGTCCTGGCAGGTCATCCTTAAGGTGCTATTTAACAAATCTGAACAGGAGACAGTGAACACTGAAGGTCTCAACCTCTGTGACTTCCACTCTTCAAAACCACAGGGTGTATTTGCAGAATAGTAGCTATCATTTAACATGCTCTTCCTCTGTGCCAGGCACTGGGCTAAATGCTTAACCACTGTAATGCCCATTACTCCTTCAACAGTCACTATTTCCAAGCCCAAAAGGCTGACCCACAGAATCATGAGCAAATAAGATAGTTTTTTTAAGCCATTAAATTTTGGTGTGGTTTATTATACAGCAAGAGATTACTGCTACAGGACTCATTTCTGGTTTAGCACTTGATTTATCTGAGAAATCAAGAAAATCACAATCAATTACAGAAAATATTCAATCAATGGAGTATTCGTGTTGACTAATCTTATAGGCAATTTTAAGAGAATTGAAGAAGTTATTTAGATAATGTCAGCAATCTGCCAAACAATCTGACTCCTCCGTATACTCTCATCCTGAATACCCACTTCTATTTCTCAGAAGCAGGTATTTTAATAAAAATTATCTGTGAAACTGACAAATTCTTACTT